GGGGGGAGAATAGAGGGATTCTTTTAGCTGGGACAATTTTTTTTCAAAGAAAGTTAAGTTTTTTGGCTTTTTGGATGTTCAGCTGACCACTGTTCTTTAATGTTTAGGTCCTACAATGCTTGCTTATGTGGGTCAGCTGCCCTGCCAAAGCCACATTGGTTCTTCAATTTTTATTACATCTAAATGTTTGAAAAAATTAGAGTGTTTTTTTTTATTGATAAATTAAAGGTTAATTACTTTTTTTTTTTTTTTTAATGTACTGAATGCTCATTCCTCTGATTGGTGTTTTTAAACTTGGTAGAATTACTAATTAATTTAAATTAAGATGTCAAAATTTGGTTTAGTCAACAAAGTAGGGCAATGTGCTTTTGCTTTGCAGGCTGGTACGTGAAGAACTGAAAAAACTAATCCAAAATACAGTCTTCGTATTTAAACATGTGCGTTACTATTGTTTACCCTAATCCACGTATTCGCACGCTCAACCTATAATGGCTTAGGTCGCTAACGATTTAGGGGCAGAGGTTAAAATTTCATAAAACACTTAAAAGAAGTGAACAAATGCCACATAGCCCACCGTCAAACGCTAAAGTAAAAATTTTCAACGGCAGGGAGAACCAAAAGCGCAGCAACTTTTTGAGCGGAGTCCCCAGTAGACAGAGGAAGAGCAGAGATGAGAGTTAGCACTTATCTCTACTGAATTGGAAAGTTTAATAAAAAAAAAAAAAGGAAAAAAGAAAAAAGAAGCAGTATGAGCATAAGAGAGAGAACCCCCAGTTTTGAGGAATTTGAAGAGAAAGAGGCAGGCAGACAGTGGAAAGAAAAGAAAAGGTGGTGGTGGAGAGAGAAAAGAAAGGAAAAAGAAACAAAATTGGAAGGTGGTAAAAAAAGTTGAACGAGGGTTGATACTGGTAGGCGAAAAGAGCAGGCGCCATCCACTCCAATCTCCAACTTGGAGGCTTCAAGTTCTCTGCTCTGATGGGAATAACGGCAATAACCCAAATTCAAGAAAAATTCCCTAAATATCTACTACATACTTGCATCTGCTAGAAAGCTCTGTGCCAATCTTTGGGAGATTCCAAGCGCTCAAGTTCCAATTTTTAAAACGTTCTAAAATGAGCAAGAATGTTGTCCTGAGAGGAGCTAGCCGTGGCCACCGCAAGAATATAAGAAGGTCTTGAGCTTGACACTTCGAGGGATCGAGGGATTGATCATTTCCTAGTGATGCCCACTTGATGCAGGTTTTGCCAATTTTCCTTCCCATGTACATTTCTTTGACTTTTGTCGGCTTTGGTCATGAGGTTCTTTTGGATTTTTTTTTGTTTTTTTTTTTTTTTGTCATTATGCGAATTTTTTTAAGGGTTGTTTTTGTTTGATTTTACATTTTTTATGTCGGTGGGTTTTGCTTGGTCTGGCCTTTCCTGCTTTTATTTTGAGAGAGATTTTTTTGGTTAATTTAACTATTTTAAATCTGTTATTAAATGCATTTGAACAGTTCATTTTTTTTTTTTTTTTTTTTTTGTCATTATCAATTTTTTTAATTTGTTTTTGTTTGATTTTACATTTTTTATGTCGGTGGGTTTTGCTTGCTGGCCTTCCTCTTTTTATTTTGCAATTGAGATTTTTGGTTAATTAACTATTAATCTGTTATTAATGCAGAAAAAGTTCACTTTCTTTTCAGCTCTGCAACTTGCATATTTATTGTTCAAAAATCATATTTAGTTGTTTTAACTTTGCAGGTGGTCCATGAACTGATTTTGGTACCTATTTGTGATTTGGTAGTTTCACTTTGAGTCTAAACGTTTCCATTTTTGGATCAGGTGGTCTATATTTTCCTAAATCATTTACTGTATTCGAAAATTGAGTTTATGTCCGTTGGACTCCGAAAATTAAAAGTACGGTATAATTTTGCTACAAGAAGAAGTTATTTGGCTTTAGAAGTGTATATATCCTGCTGAATGGATTTCTTTTGCCCAAATGAATTCAAACAGATGGGTACTTTGTTTATTTGCTTTCTGATGTTTATTTTATCTACAATGCTTTAACTGTTCTTTAGTTGTTAATTACTTACTATTGAAATTTGGTTGATGTAAAAATAGACATCTTGTATGTATGGTAGAACAATAAATTGAATTCCATGTCTCTAGCTTTGGCTATTATTTTCAAAAAGTAGTTTATACCTACTCTGATATTCCTGCAGCCAGCAAGTGCAGGTCCCTCAAAGAGACATGTTGCACAACCCCTGATACAAGATCATCAATTCATTGATAGAAAAATTCATGCTTTACAGCCTATATCTTCTGCAAGTTGTGGTAGCTCAGTGGAGGTAATAAAATTATAATTCCTTTACTATTTCATTTCTCAAAAAAGATTTTGTACTTAATATAAAATACAAAACTGGAAAATAATGTATCCTGTGATTGAAGAAAATTTAGTAGAAATAAACTGCTTTTTCTATAGCCTAATATACGAAAACAGTATAGAGGTGCAGTTTCAGTGTTTTTACTTTCATCAATGATTTTCCTCAACGGTTGCATCTTTCTTGTGTTCCTTGTGCTTCCTCAGATAGTTCTTTAGTTACAGCGCTCTTGTTTTCCCATTTTATTGCGACACCCTTCTTCTTCACAGGTACTGCCTCATAAACTTGTGGAGTCTCCTAATAGCTCTTTGGATTTTAGAGGCAGGATAGGTGAGTCGAGTTATCACCTCAAAACATCAGCAGAATTACTCAAGGTGCTTAATCGGATTTGGAGTCTTGAAGAACATCAGACGTGCAATATGTCACTGTTAAAATCTTTGAAAATGGAACTAGATCATTCTCAGTCACAAATAAAGGAGTTGCTCAAAGAGAAACAAACTAACAGGAAAGAAATGGATGATTTGATGAAGCAAGTTGCAGAAGATAAAATCGTTAGAAAAAATAAAGAGCAGGACCGAATCAAAGCTGTCATTCAGTCATCAAGAAAAGAGGTAGAAGATGAAAGGAAGCTAAGGAAACACTCAGAAAGCCTGCACCGGAAGCTAGCTCGAGAGCTTTCTGAAGTCAAATCTGCTTTCTCTAATGCTTTAAAGGAACTTGAGAGGGAAAGGAAAGCACGGATTTTGTTGGAAAATTTATGCGATGAGTTTGCCAAGGGAATCAGAGCTTATGAACAAGAGGTCCGGTCCCTAAGGCACAGACCTGAGACAGATCATGTTGCTAGGCCTGGAAAACCTGACCGCCTGGTTCTCCATATTTCAGAAGCATGGCTTGATGAGCGAATGCAAACGAGACTAGCAGAAGCTCAAAATGAGCTTGTTGAAAAGAATACAATAGTTGACAAGTTAAGTCTAGATATAGAAACCTTTCTCCAAGCTAGACATTCCAATGAACTGAAGGAAGACAGTAGCTTTATTAAAGAAGCAATAAACAACTGCTCACGGCGGGAGTCCTTTCCACTAAATGAGGCTGTAAGTGCACCTAGAGATGCTGCTGATGAAGAAGATTCTATTGATAGTGATTCAAATTGTTTTGAACTAAACAAAAGCACAGGTAAAAAACAGAACACCGGCAACTCCAAACGACGAGGTAATACTAATTGTTCTTCAGAAAGCCATCTTAAGGAAATAAAGAGTTCAGATACTAAAAAGAGAATGGCAAGGAAACATGCTCGATTGAACTCAAATGGTGTGGTGGATAAGTTAATCAGAAATCATTCCTTATCATCTGAAGGAGATAGAATTCATCCTGAAAGTGATTTGAAGGAAGACTGTTGTGTTAAGCCTGTTTTTGCTGCAGGACATTCAAGTCCAGTGCAGAAGTGGATATCAAAATTGGCATCCCCAGAGTTTGATAAAACTGAATCTTCCTTGCAGTTGCATAGGGGCATAAATGAAAATAGTACATTGAAGGAAAAACTACTAGAAGCGAGATTGGACAGTCAGAAATCTCGATCAAAACTCTCTAAAGCTTCTCTTTAGGATCTGTCTGAAACAGTATAGTAAGCTTTCTCATAAATAGTTTATGTATGTTAGTTGCAGGGAAATATCTTTCTTATGAAACTTTTTCATTCTGCAATGTTTCTAAATAGATGAAATGTTAGTTTTGCACTTGTAAAAAACTTAAATTTTACTAAAAAGTAAATTAGATTATGAGACTCAACCAAAATTTAGTAATTCTAGAATAAATAGATCATTCTCCCAATGTTGAGAAAATATTTTATATGGAATCATTAACTACAACTTAGGCATTTTTTAGTTCATTGGAACCCAAAAAAGCAATGGCTTTTTGTGGCGTTTATTTATTTATTTATTTAAGTCTCCGCCCGATAGAATTTTGAAGGACAGGACGTGCCGAAAGGAAAATTTTTTTATGACCCATTTTCAATTTTGTAGTCGGTTCATTCCTATCTCATTTAAAGTGAAGTCCAACAGTTTCACTAATCAAATTCATTTCATAAAATTACTAGTATTTGATAATCAGCTGTTTTATAGATTGATACCATGTCATTAATCACTAATTGCTTTTGACCACGATGATGCCAAGTGATGTTATTGTACTTTCTTCCTCCAATAACTAAAATTAATGAAAAGCAAACCAGAAACACTGTCTTGACTAATAAAATATACCATGCATAAAAAAGAACCAGAATCTAATTGCATTGCAGCAATATGAAAGTGAAAGAAAGAGTAAGCACAGGTAAGAAATGACCTACCGTGGCCTCCACCATAAACAAATTAGGTTGGATTAGAGTCTCTAATTGCGGACAGATATTTGTTCATTAAGTGACAGAGACGCCACTATATTTAAAGAATTAGTATTAAACTGCGTATAATGGAATCTTTTCATCTGAGAAAACCGATTCCGGCCATCATGATTCATTTTTATGACAGTGAGAAGCAACTCAATTAATTGAAAATTGAATCCCAGTTCAACCAATGATCTAAAACATTAATGTTAGATGAAAAAAGATACCAGTAACCATTAATTTGGCTTTGATTTCAAAAAAATTTTGACAAGAATATCCATTTAAAGATACTATTTTTTAAATGTATGTTGAAACAAACGGTTGTGATCGAGTGTTAAGTTAATTCATAGCACTATATAAGGATCTCTCTTCTTCACCTAATCCTGCAACAAACTTCTTTCGTTAATTCTTAATTGTGTTTTCATTCTATTAGTAATTAATTAACTATATGTATATCTGTTGGGGTTTTTGGTGAGGCTTAATAGAGCTCTCCTCACTCCTACTATAAAGGAGATGATAGTAGGCCATGGCTGCTAGTTCATGAATACCCCTGGGTGCGCATATAGGGGTTGCGCAGGCTAAGGGTTTGCATGACCTTGGAGACATGGTTACCTTGGTCTTTTTCATATTGGAGTGAAGGGAGCTCTGTTGTCTTTCTAACAATCTTTATTTTTATTATATATGATTTCCCTGATTTTCTTTAATTTCACCCGAAATTATATTTTTACTGTGTTAATTATTGTTTGCGCTGACGTTGAATTTCTTGGCTTGATTGTTTTTCTTTTTTGTAAGGACGCAGCTTCCATTGATTCGGACGATTGCAATGTTTCAGGAAGAATCAATGTGTCAGGATTCTTGTTTAAGTTCTTAGTCTTGGGGAATAAGTCCATGTCCAAGAATCTGCAACATGGTATGTTTTCTGGAGCAATGCGAATATACGTGATTGGGACACAGGATAGAGTTGATGTCCACAATCATGAAGCCGGAAAAAAAGTTTCCGGCATAGTTAGATGGTGGTGCCACCTCCAGCTGCTTTCTTGAAATGTAATATAATTGTATTGGCAGAAGCGTTGGCTTCCATGGAGATGCGGTCGAGTAGGAGAGTGTCGTTGTTCATGGTCATTGGTCATGACTGTAAATCAGTTCTTCAGCAGTGCAATGGGTTAACTCTTCATTGCGTTCGTAGGTGGCTCACTCACAGGCTAGAATGACCTCTTCATATGCTGGTCCTACAACTTGAGAGTGTCTTTCAGACTTTCGTAATCTGATCAGTTTGTATTTTCCTTGCAATGGTCAAGATTCTATGCAAATGATTTCTTGCCCTTCATTTTGGTCCAATTCATATTTATTTGAAACTTGAATCTTTTCTAATTAAGTGGCAGTAATAATTAGTGACTTTTGGTCAACTTTCCATAGCAATACGCAATTAGTGAATTCGCAATGGCCAATTGGCAATTATTTCATACCATATTTTTACTAATTTTAATTCTTGCAAATAATAAAGATTCTGCTGCTCCATATATATACACACACGGATTTATGAATATAAGATTCTTTATATAAGAATAAAGCAAATCTAGATGCAAAAAAAAAAAAAAAAAAAAAAAATAAGCAATACGCAGAATCTAGTGATTCGCATATGGGCCAAATTGGCAATTCAGTTCCATACCATATTTTTATAATATTTAATTCTTGCAATAATAAAGGATTCTGCTGCTCCATATATTCTCACACACGGATTTCATGACTATTAAGATTCTATGTATATCAAGTAATAAAGCCAAAATCTAGAGGCAAAGAAAACAAAAAAAAAAAAAAAAAAGAAATTCGTTCGGTAATACTGTAATATATTCGTCAAAATAACTATATCTCACATTCAAAACGATGGATACTAAGGTTTTTCACTGACATTAGACAATAAGATGTTAGGTTCAAGCCCTCTGACATAACAAACAGTACGAGACACTACATTCCAGTTTGATTAATCATGACTATTCTTTAGATCCGTTGATGTTTTCCAATAATAAACATAAATGAATTAAATTCACCGCATTTCACAAAAGCACCAAAAAAAAAAAAAAAAAAAAAAGAAAATTACAGTTGGTAATACTGTAATAGTATTCGTCAAAAATAATATATCTACATTAAAAAATGAATTAGGATTTTTCACTGACATAGACAATAAGATGTTAGGTTCAAGCCCTCTTGATAAAGTAGAGAACTACTTCAGTTTGTAATCCATGATATTTTTAATCCGTTGAGTTTCCCAATAAATAAAAATAAATGAATTAAAATCACCGAATTTTAACAAAAACACACTATTTTTACCAAACATATTTGAATTGGTTTATAAATGGCTTAGTATGTATTCTTCCAAATCGTTAATAGACTAATTGTTCTGTTCCCTTCAAACACATTTTAACATCAAATAATATAATTCACGCACCAAATATCATAGAAATATATTAATTTTATGAACTACTATTTGCTTATATTAACATTACCATTCTTATATATGCAATTGATTCCTCATATTCTGGAGGATGGACAACCAGAAATTTCTAAGTATAATTTATTTATTTATTTATCTATTTTTTGAAAGAATGTATACGTAAGACAGAGATATGACAATCTTTATGTATATTAAATTCCGGCATTTCTATAAAGCATAGCTTCTCATGCGTCACTGCACTAACTATAAAATATATAAAATTTATTCTCATACATACAAATTTTTCAGAATATGGTCTTTGCACAAATAATGTTCTATGTTGAAAGGCATTTTTATACTATCCCCATTTATGGAAATAGCATCCGTTATGAATTATTTATTTATTTTTTTCCCTTAAGGAATTGATTATTGTAATCTTCTTTGATAGTAACAGTGAGAAAATTAGAATTCAATAACGTATATAGACAGTGGTCTCAATACCAATTTAATTAATTATATATATATATATCTACCGGTTGTGCTTAGCGGAATTTGAATTAGATGCCCCTAAATCTTAAATTAATTACTTATGATTATGTAAGGAATTTAGCAGGGATGGCAGTCGCTCTTTCATTCTTATTCTCTCAAAAACAATCTTTTCCCCTCAAAGGAAGTTTTGAATCAGATCCATAATTCTATATGCCTTCACAAATTTTGCTGATCTGTTATATCATCATGCGAATTATTCTATAGAAAATAAATTATCATAGTTGGATAAAAATAAATATTTTCAAAAAAATAAGATAATTAAGCATATTTATTGTGTTTTACACGAATATACAATAAAAACACATAATCAGAAATTAGACTTTTTATTTCGAAATATAAAATTTCTATAATCAGCCAATATTGAAAATGCACTTCTTCAGATTTTTTTTTTTCCATGAAATTCAACAATCAGACGTCCTCATAAAAAATTATTCAAAGATGGTTTGGATTAATAGAATTCAAACATTTTGATATTCCTTCATCTGATTGAGAAAAATAGACAATAATCTGTGAAATTTATCGATTGTTGATATCAATAGTTTATTAATAATATAATTTAAATTATTTAATTTTATTCTAAAAGTATATTTCAAATCCACAATTATGTTTTTTCAATCAAACAATGGCTCATGGCTCATTGATTTCATAATCTATGTGCCACATATCTTTTAAATAAATCGTAATTAAGCGAGCAAACCAGGAGAAGGTGACTTATTCTTCTCTCCAGGCTATGGGTAAAGGGCAATTGTAATTTCGGTCGAATTTTTTAGTTTGCAAACTACAAAGCGTTTTACATTATTTTTTTTTCAAAAAAAAAAAAAAAGTGTTTGATATTATTATCATTAATTTATTATACAATACTAAAAAAATTTAATTATCATTAAAATTATGTTTGTAAATTTTAATGAATAAGATAATTATATCCAAGCCCACACGAAAAATAGAAAATTACAAGAAAAAATATTCGCATAAACAGTGATGTAGCTGTCTCATGAAAGATTTTTGAATAAAGAAATAAATTTTTTGGAGATTTTCACAAATCTCAAAATTTAATGATTGAGATTGTATTACTCGAATATAGTGCTGATGAAAGCCCTACCTAGTACCCTATAAAAAGACCGCGCTTTGTGTTGGACTCACGAGTCACAACTAGACTAATCCTTTTTGTTAATTCCTAATTAAAGTTAATCTGTAATAATAATTTGTATTAATTTGTAATAACGTTAGTGTTGGGGTTATATGATAGGAGCTCTCTCTCTCCATCTCTGAAAGGAGGTGAAGGTGTGTGGCACGGCTTCTAGTTCATGGAATATCCAGTGGGTGCGGTTATGGTGCGAGTGGGCGCACCCTCAGGGTTTGCATGTGCTTGAAGACGTGGTTACCTTTCTTCTTTTTGGCATTGGGGTGAAGGGAGCTCCTCTTGTCTTTCCTACCCTAAATCTTTCTCTGTTTCTTTTTCTATACGCTAAATCCTCTCCACTCTCTATTGTTGTTTTGCAGGAGTCACTAATGGCGATTTGAGTTCTGGACATGAAGAATTTTCAAGTCAAAGTGACAACGTACTGATATTCCCTATGTATATAGATACTCTTTCATCTTACCTTAGGTGTATCCACTTCTAATTATGTACACTTATTTGTTATAAGTTGAATTTTTTTTATAACGTAAGAAGAGAGAAAATATCCAAAACGAATTAGTCTTCTCAGACCATGGGAGAGCCAATCTTCTAATTAATGGACTCTTAAGGAAATGAGGAAGCAAACTTAAAAATTATTCCTCACAATAATTAGTCTTTTATGCTGAAGTAATATTTGAATTTGAATAACGAGATACCTAAATGTGGCTCGATGAACTACTAAACTTTTTATGTCTCGGATGAACTAACAGTATATATATCTTTTATGCGTTGGATGAATTAATATGATTGGATTCATATGAAGTGATTTTAAAATTACATAAAAGTCTATATAGTTTAATTACTATTTATTGGTTGTGTTATTTTAATTGTTAATTTTATCATACTGGGTAGTAGTTAAGTTTTGTATTGAATTGAGGGAATTTTTTTTATCAGCAAAAAAAATTTATTTTATTAATTTATAATATTTATAAAAAACTTACTCTATCTAAGTACTAACTTGAGCTAATAATTTCTATGTCCTCGCATAATTTTGTCAAAAGTAATATAACTTTCGGATTGTATTAAAAATTATTACACACATATTTAATTTAGTTGTTAAGCTATTTGAATATATTATAATATTTTATGTAAGCTCATGTATAGATTTAATATAATGTTTTATAAATTTTTTATCGTTTGTTTATTGATTGTGTTATTTTTACATTTGGATTTTGTCGCAGAATGGAGTATTTTAGTTAAATGGTTGAAATTTTTCTCTCTTTTTTTTCAAAAAAAAAAAAAAAAGTTACAAGATGTTGAAATTTGAATTAAGAGGATATTATTAAAAATTATGTAAATTTGGATTCTATTCGTAATATCTTTATGTCCCTGCCCTATGTATTTTTTTTTCAATAAATTATATAAATATTTTTTATTAATTCGAAAATTCGTAGACAATTATTAATATCTTTATGGTCCCTGCCTATGAAATTTGACCGTTGGAATAACATTAATGTTTAATATCCTGCCTGCTCTGTTTTCTTCATCGTCAGCTTTTCCCTTTACGGTCCCAGTGTTCAAGCCAGCCATAGAAATTTTGTTTGGCAGAAAAGAAAAATATGTTTTGGTTCGTTTTTGTTTTTGACTTTTTCGGTTTCTCTCCTACAACTCTTGGCGCAGTTGGTGTGTTTGGTGGTCTCGATCCGTATGCCTACTGCTAACCTAATCAACGTTTGAATCACTAATAATTTCAATTAAGGCCGAGTTTGTTCATAATTTACAATTAAAGGTGGTGGACAATTATATAATTAGTGCCTGAAACTTAACTGCTTTTTTTATTTACTATCTAAACTTTATATTTCATTGACAAGTTTAGACAAATGTTTTTCAATTAACTACATCGTTCGACATATGTTGTCAAAAACTAAGTAGATAAATTTACTCAATAAGTGATTATTAAATATAAACAAATAAAACTATTCATGGAGGGTCCTAGAAATTTCTTATAATTTCCTCTTTTTTTTCAATATAAATAAGAGAGAAATAAAAAATAAATAAAGTGAAAGAATAAAGTAATATATTTCTTCAGATTTTCCAATAAGATAGTTCAGCCAAATACACTTAATTGTAAAAAAAAAAAAAAGTAGAATTTCTAAGTAAATTCTATAAACTTAAACACCACAAATTTTTATAATAAAACTTTTCATACTTCCAGCTTTCCATAATCATTAAGGGTATTTTAGAAATAAAAACAAATAAATTTTTATTTTTTAAATTATTCAAAATATAAAAATTTTATTCAAATTATATTAATACATGCAAAATATAAATGGAAGTACTTACTTGTTGGAGATATTAAGAGAAAAAAAAAAAAAACACTTTCCTAATTTTTTATAAGTGGTGAATGAAGCAAGATATCTTTTTTTTTTCTAAAATAATACTTTAATAGGAGGTGCTATTACATTATTACTAAATCAAAAAATATATTTATTTAATTATTATGATTTAGTATAAGTTATTGTTGAAGCGTGTAGGTTTGAGCATAATCAACCAAGTACTAACCCAGTCTGCCCGTTAAAAAACCGCCATAATTAAAAATCAATATTTTTGTTTTTTTTTTTTTTTTCCTCTTTCGAACGGCAATAGAAAACCTTAATTAATACAAATCCATGAGAAAAATGAATCGATACATGCGACCATGTCAATTTCTAACAGTGCAATTGACCCATACATGTTCAACTATCGGTCTGAAGTAAAAGCAGCTACTATTCTATTGATAATTTGATATTATAAACAAAGAAAAAAATTTTATGCTTGAGAAATACCTACCAAAAGATAATTTAGAATAAATGATAATCTCTGATTTAAAAAACGCGTCGTAGTAGCTGACTAAGATTTGGAAGGAGGAGACGGCCAATTAAACCCCGAATTGGAAGTAAATGGTAGAGCGTAGACGCACAAACAAATAAACCGCTTCTGTTATGCTAATTTCCTTTTAAATATTAATTATTTTTATTACAGATATTGTAGCCTCGCGTCCTCTCTCCCTCTCCCCAAGGAGCAGAATCTCAGATAGCTCTCTCCCTTTCAGATAAGGGCCAGGTAAAGGTCACCTCATTTCTAGGGTTTCGCTTTCTTCTCGGTTTTTTATTTCCCTCGTTTTGGAGAGGGAGTGGATGAGAGGCTACAACACGGATCTATTCGACTCTGCAACCGAGATGGAATCAGTTTATTCACGTCAGAGTTGTCCTTCCGATGGTGATTTTGGATTCGCCTTCAACGATAGTAATTTCTCTGACCGCCTTCTTCGGATCGAGATCATGGATGATTCGCCTGAGGATAGGTCCGGCGCTGAGGGTTGTACTAGTATTGCCGATTGGGCTAGACACCGCAAGAGGAGGAGAGAAGATATTAAGAAGGAAAATGGTTTGTGATTATTTTTTTCCTTTTTTTTTTAAATTTTTTGTTATATCATATATCTATGTCTTGTTTCGTTACGGAGAAATCTTAGGTTATGAGAAGGAAAAGGTGTTGAGAAATTTTAAATTTTTTTTTCCTTCTTTTTAAATGTATAGGCCGTTCTTTTGAATTTCCAGTTTCAAATTTAATTGAAGGTCCTTTCAATGCCATATCAGCTGTGAAATTGGATTTCTCATTCCTATTTCAACATGGCTTCTAGGAAGTTTTAAGTTGACTCGCCATATTGCTTTGTTTGTTAACGAGAAATTGACCTGTCTTGGTCGATTTATTATTCATCTCGCAATATGTCCCTAAGATCTAGGGTTCCCTCTATTATGTGGCAGCTTCTAATTGATACCCGAACTTATTCCGCTATTGCTTTGAGGATGCCTGCCCTTGTATTTTTTTAGCTTTCATGTCCTCTTACTGGACCTACTGACGTTAGTTAATGTTCACAATGTGCTTTCAGCTGTGGAAGTCTCTGTAGGCGCCGAGGAGCAGATTTTAAGTTGTAACCAACATGATATGGATGATTGTGTGGGCTGTGAAAATCAAGATGAGGAAGCAGACGCAATGATTGAAGAGCCCCCTTCAGGTACTGATATAAATTTTAATCAAGTTGGTGCATTGTATGTTTTTTTGTATGTGCAATTTTTCTTTTCCCCCATCTTCTGTCTTAGGGTTTGTTTGGGTCCTTCGTGCATCAGTCAGGGAAAACTTTCATTAGTGAGCTGAGGACAGTATCATCCAAACTAGAATCTAAGAAAAGGCTATTGATATGTAAAACTTAGTTGATTCATGATTGTAAAAAAGAGCAAAACTGAAGACTAAGATTGTAAAGTATGTTGCAGCATTTTGCATTTTGCTTTTAATTATGATAATGAAGGACATACATCGCTTGTGGCCTTCAGAAAACTGTTGGAGATGATTTACAAAGCCAATACTAATATGCTCTTGTCCATCAAATATTACTTGTCTTTCTGAGTTTTTCTTTCAATAATTCTTTTCTGAAAGAACTATGTAGGGAAAAGCTGGAGGTTGCTTTCAAATGGTTCTGCTGGTGTTGAGCGTAGCTATTGTTTTCACATTATCATATCTGTTTTCCCTCCTTTTTCTGTTTCCTTATGAGAAGAAGTATTTTGATGCATGAATAATGAAATTTTAAGGTTTTATGCTGCTTTAGATATAACGTTGAGGTGACGGATAGAATCCAAAAAAAAAAAAAAAAAAGATATGCTCTTGTCATCAAATATTACTTTTCTTTCTGAGTTTTTCTTTCAATAAATTCTTTTCTGAGAACGACTATGTAGGGAAAGTGGAGGTTGCTTTCATAGATTGGTTTTCTGCTTGTGTCGTGCGGCGTGCTTATTGTTTTCACATCTATTCTTATCTGTTTCCCTCCTTTTTCCTGTTTTCCTTATGAGAATGAGTATTTTATTGATCATGATAATGAATTTAGGTTTGATTGCTCGCTATGACGAATACGTTGAGGTTCACGGATAGATCCAAAAAAAAAAAAGATAAAAAAAAAAAAAAAAAAAGATATAACGTTAAGGTTTGACATTTTACCCATACACAGAATCTATTAACCTTGCTGTTATCACTAACCTGAACTAGTCATATAAATTTCTGTCATAATTTTATAGAGATTTAATTTCATGATGCTTCAAATTTCTCATTCATGTTCTTTTGTTCTATTTTTTTTTCCCTCCATAATGCTGTATATAAATTAAATGTTCCGGTACCCTTGTAGGTGATGAAGGTGCTGATGGTAATGACTCAACCTGGAGCATGGACTGCTCTACAGTTGTGAGAGTTAAAACTTTACACATCAGCTCCCCTATTTTGGCAGCAAAAAGTCCATTTTTCTACAAGGTGATTTTCCATATTTTTGGCAAAAAGACTATCTCTGGCAAATTTCTGGTCTATATTCTTTTTTTTTTTTTTTTTCCCTTACATATCCCTTCTGGGCAGCTTTTCTCAAATGGGATGAGAGAGTCAGAGCAGCGGCATGTGACGCTACCGATCAATGCATCTGGTACATCACTATCTCTTTGTTTTAGTTAGTTATTTGTTTTGGCTATCAGGAAAATTTTAATATAAACTCTTTTCTGCCTCGGGTTACTTAAAAAAAATATCATCCCCTTATTTTTATGACTTGATCTTATGATTATTGTGGTCAACTTTTCATGTCCTTGTGGATCAAAAACAATATTGTTAGATATTAACACTCTAGTATATTTTGAAGTTCTACATTGTCCTAATATGCGTTTTTATTTTACTAGTTTATCACAGCAATAATTTGGTCGTGAATCAGTGTACTAGTATGAAGTTTATATTACTAACCTTTCTTTTCTTTTTTTTTTTTTTTAAAAAAAAATTGAACCCTATGGGAGCTTTCTGATCTAATTTACGGCAAACATTTTTTCTTTTTTTTTTTTTTTAAAAAAAAATTGAACAGAGGAAGCTGCCCTCATGGAGCTTCTGAATTTTATTTACAGCAATACATTATCAACCACAACAGCGACTGGCTTGCTTGATGTGCTTATGGCTGCTGATAAATTTGAGGTTGCTTCATGTATGAGGTATTGCAGCCGACAATTGCGTAACATGCCCATGACACCAGAGTCTGCCTTGCTTTACCTGGAGCTTCCCTCCAGTGTTCGAATGGGTGAAGCAGTCCAACCATTAACTGATGCTGCGAAGCAATACCTTGCATCTCGTTATAGGGATATGACCAAGTAAGCTTCCTACCTTCCGTCCCTTTTTCTTATTTGTGCATGTGCACTTCGTCTCTAGTTTTAGGACCAGTAAGTTTAGGTGGTCTTATCTATGACTATAAGCAAATATAAGTTGCTATAGTTTCTTGGAACAGCTACATATCCAGTAGCAGTACAGTCAAATTTTCTGTTGAGTTTTTCTTTTTCCTCTGATGTAGTATAATTATTATTTTTTTTTAACTTCCCTGTTTGGGTGGCTTGTTTTGAACATTGACCAGATTCCAAGAAGAGGTGATGTCCTTGCCCCTGGCTGGAGTTGAGGCAATTTTATCCAGTGATGACCTACAGGTTGCCTCTGAAGATGCTGTATATGACTTTGTGCTGAAATGGACAAGAGCTCAGTACCCAAGCATCGAGGAGCGTCGTGAAATCCTGGGTGCACGCCTAGCACATTATATTCGCTTCCCATACATGACTTGTCGGAAGCTTAAGAAGGTTTTAACATGTACTGACTTTGATCATGATGTTGCATCCAAGCTTGTCCTTGAGGCCCTATTTTTCAAGGCTGATGCCCCGCATCGGCAACGAACCCTTGCCACAGAGGAGTCTGCATCCTTGACTCGTCGTTTCATCGAGCGAGCATACAAGTATAGGCCTGTTAAGGTGGTAGAATTTGAACTACCTAGGCAGCAGTGTGTGGTTTACCTGGACTTGAAGCGTGAAGAATGTGCAAATTTGTTTCCTTCTGGACGGGTTTATTCTCAGGCATTCCACCTGGGTGGACAAGGATTTTTCTTGTCCGCACATTGCAATATGGACCAGCAGAGCTCTTTCCATTGTTTTGGTTTGTTTCTGGGGATGCAGGAGAAAGGGTGTGTAAGCTTTGCTGTGGATTATGAATTTGCAGCCAGGACAAAGCAAACGGAAGAGTTTGTTAGTAAATACAAAGGGAATTACACATTCACTGGGGGCAAGGCAGTTGGCTACAGAAACTTATTTGCCCTTCCATGGACTTCCTTCATGGCTGATGATAGTCTATACTTTATAAATGGCGTTTTGCATCTTAGAGCTGAGCTCACCATCCGGCAATGACTTCAACTCGAAGTTCTAACCCTTTTGTTTTCTTTCCTAACTTTAACCAAGTATGAGATGTAATAAGTAGGCACCATGTATTGAGCTAGTTTTGATTGGAAAGGTTAAACATCAGTTAAACTGTCCCTTTATTAATTTATAATATGTAGGAAATGGAAGTGTAGATGTGGTTGCATCCTTGGGATGAATAGGTTTCTGTTCTTGCTTAAAAACGCAGCTTGAGACCATATAACTGATGGCTATGGTGTTGTGTTTGATTTTTGCATGTGGATATTACTGTGGTCCTATGGTGGTCATGATATCTCCGCTAAGCAATGTTCTTGTTCATTGTGGTTGGCTGATATGCGGTGATACCTGCATCGCAATAAATATTGCTTCTTGGGGTTCCCTCGACATCGGAACGTATTCTCAAGTTTCTTTCTATTTTGGCAACGGGGCCCTGTTATTTTGATGATAATGCGGATGACACAGTTTTGCCTAAATTCTCAGCCCTTATTTCTGTTGGATTTGATCAAATGAGAGATGGACTTTAAAAATGTCTCTCTATAAGCGGGCTTACCCCAGCCCCGAGTTGGTAGTGGGTTTAACCTATATAGAAAGCAAAGCTTTACTTTACTATTATGAGCGAAATTAGTCAGCATCTGCATTAATTGGAGGTAAGGTCGCTCGTGGCATAAGATATTAGCCATTTTCCGCTGAAGTAATTGGAACGATGACTCGGTCCTCTAATCAGTTTGTTAGCCGACTCAGTTCTCTGAAAACGCTGGTGATGAGATCACCCTTTAACATGAATCAATTAATTCATCACCCAGGAGCTCGCGTGACTCCGAGGACATATAATCTGGTCTATGTCGGCATTCCATCATAATCTGAAGGGTAAAACAGTCTATCAGTCGCCTCGAAACCCACGCAATTTCACCGACTCGCGGTGATATATAAGGAGACTTGTATAGGAGAAAGAAGGAAAAACCATAGTCAGGTTTTAACGACCAGAGGCGTAGACAGGGAGATAGAGTGTAGGGAGAGAGCGAGCGAGCGTGAAAAGAGTTTCGTATTAAAATGCCGAAGAACAAGGGAAAGGGAGGCAAGAACCGCAAGAGAGGAAAAAATGAGGCAGACGACGAGAAGCGAGAGCTAGTTTTCAAGGAAGACGGTCAGGAATACGCTCAGGTCCTCCGTATGCTAGGAAATGGCCGGTGCGAAGCCATGTGTATTGATGGTTCCAAGCGGCTCTGCCACATCCGAGGGAAGATGCACAAAAAGGTCTGGATCGCCGCCGGGGATATTATCCTTGTTGGCCTTAGGGATTACCAGGATGATAAGGCTGACGTCATCCTCAAATACATGGCTGATGAGGCCAGACTATTGAAAGCTTACAGTGAATTACCTGATAATATGAGATTGAACGAAGTGATGGCTGGTGGTATTGACGACGAGGATGATATTGCTGGCGATGATTACGTTGAATTTGAGGACGAAGATATTGATAAGATATAAATTCCCGTACTGTATTTCAATATAAAAGGTTTTTTTTTTCCTTTGAAATTCCGGTTTGAGCTTTTTACTATCGTGTGTAGTATTAGCCATTAGGATGTGAATTGTTAAGGATAGCCATTCTTGTGCTGATAGTGAGCTAATAACAAAATCAAGAATTACTTGATAAACAAAAAAAAAAAAAAAAAAAGGAAATGTCAATTCAGAGGTGATTCAGGATGGAAGGAAATGCAAGAAGGCCCTGGAAGATTTAAGAAAAAAAAAAATAGTGGTTTGGCTATTGGGTGAGGATTAAGCTGTTTGGAATTGTATTTTCTATTTGTTATTTGTTTTGCCTTAGATCTAAGCTGCTTGGGAGTTGGATTTTTTATTTTTTATTTTTAGAGAGTTTTTGTAACAAGGTTTCTTGATGTAAATTTGAATGTAACCATCTTTGGATTCTTGGAATCGTTAATTTTATCTTAGGAAAGGAAGTGAGAATGTATGAAATTCATTTTAGTCAATGATCATATAAGCAAGAGTGTAGTTGCTGGATGAAGTGCATACACATGAAATTGCTGATCCTTATTACAATGATGGACTGGGAAAATATAATAAAACAGTAACACCGTTCATACAAAGCCCTAATATACAATATAAGATTTAAGTATGTCTTACAGAGAGGGGGATACAGAGTACTGAAATGAAATCAAGATCCGGGATAAAGAAAAAGTTTGTCGCTCGCTCAATCAATCATATGTATCTATTCAGTTCCAGCAATCTTCTTCTTCAGTGCGTCAATATCTGTGGCTAGTTCTTTTCTGCTCGACTGAGGAAGCAAATACGTTGTGTATTAGCAATGTATATATGGTGCTCTTAGCTCAGCAAATATCTGATTAAATATATCAACAAGAATCTGGTTCCAAATTTCAATTGCTATTTCCCAAGAAACTAAATATCTGATTAACCGTAGATTTTACTATCAGCTGTTTCTATTTTCTAACCTAGTCCATTTCTCGAAATACTGCATAAGAAAGCATAGAAAGCATGCATATGCTCTTACCTTGAAGAGAAGGTATCTGTAGACAAACCATCCAGTATATCCAAGCCCAACCAACTCCATGATCTTGGGCAGCTGGTGAAACAGAAACACGACAAGATTAGACGAGAAATAAAAGCTTCAGTTACCCTTGATGATAATTATTTCAAAAATGAACCCACCAAAGGTACTGAGTTGATAGCTCCCACAACAATGGATGATAGCCAAACGGCAACTATTGCCCCACCCCCATAGAGAAGCACTGTGGATTTGTTTTCAACCGCATCCCACTAGTAATAATAACAAATACAAAATTAATCTAGATAGATAAACTAGAGACAGCAAGTTTAATCGACAGCGTTTTCTACAAATGTGCCAGCTTTGTTTCCTTACCTTTTCCTTCAAATCTGTGAATAGCTCACTAGGGTCGACACTGGATGTATCTTCTGATGAAGCTCTAATCTGATGGAGAGAAAACCTGCGAGGCTCTGCTTGAAGAAACAAGAATCCCATTTTCAATTCTTCAATAAACTTTCAAGTGACTAACTCCACACATGGTTACTCGCTACTCATGCTTAGATTACCATAATATAGAAATGACAGGCAGCTCAAATCCATAAACACTTGAAAGAACAGAACAATTTGGAAATGATTTTGTACACAGAAGGGTTTCAATATCAACAATATTAGAATATATTTGATATAAATGAAAATATTTACTTTCACTCTCATGGAATTCAATATAATTTAACCATTTGTAAACAAAATTATATTTCAAGAATGGTTTACACCAAACTAGCGTTTAAGTAGTACTTGCAATTCGGTACCCAACTTGTATCTACCCATTATCTTTCCCAAACAATGTTGAACCCGTAAAGCCAATGCCACATCAATGAACAGGATAAACTTAATAGGCAACATAAATTAGTTACTTCTAAGAGATAAAGAGTTGTCGCCCACATTCCTCCTCAATTATCATCTAAACATTTCCCCTTTCAAAAAGCCAAAAAACAGAGCAGATTTTTTTCAGCCAACCAACAATCGCATTCGTATGCTCTTCTACTAAAATGCTCCATGAAAGTGAAATTTGCTTGGCTTATCTTCTTACACTATTGCACACTAGCTAAGTAACGATAAATTATTATTATTGTTATTACTTAAATGTGAGAGTAAACAACACCTGAGACTTGTTTAATGGAAGAGCGGAAGGAGTGGGATGGCAAGCGAGGAGGGAGGTAAGGCAAGGCTGAGCAGCGAGTGGTTCTGTTGGCAGAAGGAATCAAGGCAGCGGTGGTACCCGCCATGGATGAGGATGCTGCCGCCGCATAAACCGTCGCTGCCATTGAGATATTGATGTGTGGCTGCCCAAACTCTGTGGCTTTCTATCCTTTCGAATTTTGATCAATGTGTTTGTTTTAATTTTGATTTATTTATTTTTGTTTATTTGAAATTTTGAGTGTTTATTATCCGGTGATGATATTTTTGTGCTGAGTTTCTGACTATCATTCTGCTAACGACACGTGTAGGAGGCAAGCATTTTGATTGGCTGATTCCCTATCTGTAATCCACGTTTGAGGCGCGCTTTCTTTCTGCCTGGCCAACGGTAGAGTTCCAATCTGGTGAAGCCGCATCTATAGTTTGCGTGTAAAATCTGAAAATTACTACTATTATTGTTTAATTTGCGTATGAAATGACTAATGACAAATGAGTTAGTTTGTGTATCTAATTACTAGATTATGTTTTATTTTTGAATGTTTCTTAAAATCCAATTTTAGTAAATAAAATAAAAAATAAAATTATTTCTCATCCACTAAAATCATAAATTTATAATCTTGTTAAAAATGAAATCTAATCAATTAAATTTCATTTTTAAAATCGATTATTCATTATATAATTGGTTTAAATTATGATAGAGCATGTAAAAATTTATTTCTATCTTTAGCTAAAAATCTGCTATTAGCATTTAGCACTAGATCAGCAACATAACTAAACAACCTAAATTAGATCGAGTTTTAAAAATTAACAATATAATAATGTATGTTTAGACTACATCAAGGCAGACGATGATGAGAAGGTGAGTTGGAGCACAACGATAAATCAAATGAAATTCTACTTGTATATGAAAAAAATAAAAATAAAAGAATAGGAATACATTTATGGATGAAACTTGAAATTTTCTAATATTTTTATAGAGAATAAATGTACCATAATTTCAATATTTCTTGCCACAAAAAATATTTCCTTTTCTTCTATATATATTATCATTTTGACTGCCTTAGACATTAATTTATATAAAATTTTCCTTTCGACTAAATGCAAATGTATTTTCCATTAAGATCAAATTTGTACTTTTATTTTTATAAAATCGAGACTGTTTATCCATCTGATTAATATGTTATTAGTAAACTTTTACTATGTATTAATAATAAAAAAAAAACTATGTTGCTTAAAAGCTTGTAATTAGTAGTTTAAATCTAATAATAGTAAAACATCAAACTTAAATTGAAAAATGATATACTTTATTTGTCCAGTATTTCACCATCATACAACAGAAAACAAGAAATTCCCTATCAATACTAGAAACTTAAAAATAAAAACAATATACAACATTTAAATCCTCAAGCATACAATAGTTGATGGTAGTTGGTCATTGGCTAGGTTTTGGCGCGTCATTAGCGGCAATGTGAAAGTGAACAGCCCATTGGCCGGACCAATCAGTCTTTCAAATCTCAGATTTCTTTCATTTCCCCTTCTCTCTAGCGACCCAGTAAGCGGTATCTGCAACTTCTTTAGCAATAATCGCAGAACCCTCCACTTGTAAACTCGTCATAGAAGCCGGCTAATCATTCATCAACAGTTACATTATACAATAATTTTCAAAAAAAAAAAAAAAAAAAAAACCCTCCACTTGTAAAACTCGTCATACAAGCGGCTACATCATCTCGCATCAAGCAGTTACCATTTATACAATAATTTTCAAAAAAAAAAAAAAAACCCACTATAGAAATGATTAATAGTTTTCGCAAGTTATAAGTCTTTTCTTTAAAAAAAAAAAAAAAAAAAAACACTATAGAAATGATAATAGTTTCGCAAGTATAAGTTTTTCTTTTAACTAACTATCATATCTAAAACGTAAATTTAATACGAAAAAGATAATATTACATTTATCTTTAATCCGAATTTGCTTATAGCTCCTCTGGAATAGATATATAAAATGAAAGGACATTGCAAAACAAGTCAGAAAGGAGAAAGGTCCTTTCTTTTGGGGTGCCAGTCTATCATGGCTCCCTAACAATAAGAAGAGTACCACCCCTTCCCTCTCTTGACATATTATATTCCCTTGCTCTATTCTGCATCTTATTATCCTGGAAACTTCCAAAGATATCACAAACAACCCAATTTATGATTTTTCAGAATCTTTCATCTTAATCTCAAAACCACTTTCCCTTCAGCTAAAAGGTGATTCTGGTTTTACATTGCTCAAAGATTGTCCTTTCAAATCTTAGTACTAAAGTTTTATTCTTGGATTTCCATTTTCTCCGTTAATTTGGTGCAAAAATCACTGAGTCACTGATTCTTGTCTGGGTTTACATCAGTGCTCTATTTGATCCATATCTTTGTATATAGTTATATACATTGTCATCCTTATTCTTTAATGGGTTGAAAATTCAACCGTTATGTAATTCTTGAGGGTGCTTTTGAGGAGTACTGTGATCTTGATGGGTTGTCAAAGAATCTGGCAGATCATCTACACAATCTTTTGTTTTTTGTCGTTGTTATCATCTTCCAGGGTTAATGGCTCATTGAGTTATGACACCGAGTCTTTAGATGAATCAATTCGCAACTACGCGATGGAAGCATTAGTAAAACGACAACGTACTGGTATTTTAATAAATGTTTCTCTGCCTGCAAATTTTTCTGACATGGAGGTCTCAATTGTTAGGCTAAGGAGCGGTAGTTTTTGGGAGAGAGGAGCAAATTTTAGTTCCTTTTATATTCCGCCAATGGTTTTACCATTCCCATTTGTGAAGAGGTTAGCTATTGTATATCAGAACTTGGGGAATTTGTCTTCTCATTACTATAAAGTTGCTGGTTATTCATTAGTTGCTCCTGTTGCTGGGTTTGCCGCTTATGATGCTACAAATTTAACGACATTAGGTGATGAAAAGCTCAAGTTTAATGTAATGGGTGGAGACATTGTGGTTAATTTTGGAAATATTGGGGAATTAAAATTTGGAAACGAGGAAGAAATGAAATGTGTCAAATTTGGTGATGGTGGGTTGGTTCAATTCAGGAACTTGATGGAGGGCTATAGATGTCTTGCACAAGGTGATGGTCATTTTTCCATTGCAGTTCCATCTAAAGAAGATAAAGAAAAGAAGAGAAAGGCATTGTGGGCTATAAGATTTGCAACTGGATTTGTAGGATTAGTTTTGGTAATTGTGATTTTGGTCACTACTTATAAATTAGTAAGGAGTAAAAGGGTTAGACAGATGGAAGGTGAATCTGATAATGGAGTGACTATTGATGTACATTGGATTGGAAGTAGTAAAATGCCTTCTGCTTCAATGGTAAGAACACAACCAGTCCTCGAACACGATGATGTTCCTTGAGTTCCTTTTTCTTTCTTTTTTTTTTTTTTTTTTTTTCCTTCTGCTTCAATGGTAAGAACACAACCAGATCCTCGAACACGATGTGTTCCTTGAGTTCCTTATTTCCTTTCTTTTTTTTTTTTTTTTTGTTTAATTGATAACACATCCAAATAAGAAGCAATATTTGCGAGCTTGTGAACTTGTCGGGGATCTCATGATTGGGCAATTTGTAGTCACATTTTTGAATATTGCCTGAGAATTCATAAATACAAACAATTATGGGTTCTTCTTCTTTCTTTGATCATTCTTCCTTTGCTGATAATACTTGTTTTGCTTGATATATTTTTGGTTTGAGAGATGTTCGAGGCAAATTGTTTCATTTTCCGCATGAAATATAAGAGCAACAATTGGCGCTTGGCACCCTAGTTACAAACGAGAAACACATGAATGTGATCAGAGGTCTATCAGGAAGCTTTAAAATTGAAGAAAAACAAATGTCTATGCTCTGTTTCAATTTCTTTGAATATAGAAAACTATGCCGCTTCTTTGCGGCTTACTTGAGCTTAGAGCATACTTAAGAAAAAAATTAACCTGAAATACTATTTTTTTTTTTTTTTTTTTTTTTTTAATTGATCACCAAAGAAGCAATATTTGCAGCTTGTGACTTGTGATCTCATGATTGGGCAATTTGTAGTCACATTTTGATTGCTGAGAATTCATAAATACAAACAATTATGGTTCTTCTCTTTTCTTTGATCATTCTCCTTCTGATAATACTGTTGCTGATAATTTTGGTTGAGAATGTTCGAGGCATGTTCATTTTCGCATGAAATATAAGAGAACAATTGGGTTGGCACTAGTTACAACGAAACATGAATTATAGTCTTCAGAAGCTTAAAATTGAAGAAAAACAAATGCTATGCTCTGTTTCCAATTTCTTTGAATAGAAATATGCCGCTTTTGCTTACTTGCTTAGAGATATTAAGATTATTAACAAACTAAGTCTTAAGATTTATCAATGGGGTGGAGTTCACAATGTTGAAGGGAAAAAGGAGGATCAGAATAAGAGCCATTGATGATACCCATTGTAATAATCTTATTTGCAGCTTCTGTGGCATGTATTCCATCCCAGCTAACATAGTTATAAGGATCATCACAAGCTAATGCTGTAACATTCTTTCCATCAATCACTCTAGTATTCCCACAATAAACTTTAGGATTAAAATTGTAAGCACCTCCCCCTTGTCCACAACATGCTTTAGTAGAATATTTAAGCCCTGTTCAAAAATTTGAAAAAAAAAAAAATGAAAAGAAAGAAAAGAAACAAATACATATTGAAATTCTTAAGTTGGTCTGAGAACTGTGAGGTTTATGTAGACCTACCATGGGAAGTGGGACGTTGAAAGAGCTGTAGCATAAGAGCATTAATGTCTACATTTATAAGCGAAGCATTTCGAAGTGCCACTCTAGCTTCACTCAGTGCCTGCTTCAACATGTTATTGTAATCCACCACTGCATTATTGTAAGAAATTAAGCAACCGAACCGGTCAATGTCTGAGGTATTCTTAGGAAGCCCTGCTAATAATGCAGGATAACATCCAACTGGTGCAAGATTGAGAACAAGAAATGTACGCCCTCCCAATGCATATAGCTCCTTGAAATTTTACCAATCAACATTAGCAACCAAATTCACAAACTGAAGAGTCCAATGCTATTTTTCTAATTGTGTACATAATGTGAAAGTGTACTCACTTTGATAGTGCCAACAATCTGTGCAATTACTTGAGGAAGATACTGCTTGACGCCAGCTATCCCAATAGCTCCTAAATTGGAAGTGAAATCATTTTGACCAATATATAATGTGTAGATTGATTTCCCAAAAATGTCTGGTGATGGAAGATTAGTTGATCCTGAGGTACAATGATACAGTTAGTGGTGCAATGATCATATTTGGTAATGTTTGTAAGAATTACCTGTCTTCTTATTAGTAGAGTGAAATTCATCAACTTTAACTTTGAATTCTTTCATCTGGTTGAGCTGAATTGCAAGAGAAAAAGGACTGATTCCGGTCACGAATAAGGAAGTGTTTGGCAAAAGCACTGTAGAGGCCAGCGTTGCATAGTTAGCTCCGTGTCTAAAATCAGACCCAATTGATTGCAGGTATGGACTCAGAAATGGGAATCCTAGAGCTTCAGCTGCAGAGAGTGAAAGACAAGTCGTACTCATTTTAATATTCTAATTTGAAAACAAAGAACAGTGTCGTGTCGGTGATTTTTGTCACCTAAGAAATCAACGATTAGTCTGCCGTCGGAGGCCCGACCTACCGGCCTCCCAAAGTAGGTCTTTCCGAAAGGACCAGACTGCGACGGAAAAGCTGCCCAAAACCCACCGGTGTCTGAATTAGAATCGCCGAAGTTGAAGATTGCCTTGAATTCACACTTGGAGTAACTTAAACTACATGACGTTGCCATCATCACTAACCAAAGCTGCAGGAACTGAGGCCGCCGGAATAAGCACATGTTCATCATTTTTCTTGCTATTATTACAGAAAGTGGATTCTTTTATGTTATAATACAGTAGCTTGATTCTGCCACTACAAGAATTTGAACAATCGAAACAAGGTCTGTCATTTTTAAAGCTAACCTCCATTTCAATTAGTGGTTCATAATCCATTATCTAAACTTGGGCTTGCCCTGTGTTAATTAGGTAAACTAGTTGAGTAACGAACTTTTCTCTGGCCCACAAATTATATTCCAACCGTCATGGATAATATAATTGGAGCTAAGCCTGATTTAGCTTCTCGACCACTGTAGAAGAAATCCAAATGCAACCCAAGCCCAATGTAATATCAGTTTAATATTATTTTTCCAATTTTACCCTCAGCCTCCGTATGTCCATGTTTCAGGTGATTGCGCTTTTGAAGCCAATGTGTCAGGATGCGTAACTGATTTAAGGGTATATTCGTAAATACGAGGTCGTGCAAGGGATAATTGTGGGACCACAATAAGTGTTCATATTTTGACTTCAGTTTAGAAAGGGTGAAAATTTTATAAAAGTTAAATAGTGGGATCCGATCTTAAACATTTTTCCTTCAGGTCCACGTCAACAGGGACCCACTTCTGTTGCGTAGCGAACTAATGTGCCTGCAAGACACGTCATCCTGTCGGTAACAATGCGTCGTCCGATTAACCTTCAAATGAAATGATAAGAGAGATTTAAATAAAAAAAAGAGCGGCCACCACGTCAGATACCTACAATCACATGTCCTTTTCTCTACGCACCACGAAACGCGCATCGTCGTTTATTTTGCCAACTAATCAAGGGCCCATGTTGCATCTCTGACGTGGCTTCTGACGCTGATGTCATACCCCACCAGGCGCAGTCACATGCACTCTTTTATACTTTGTTTGGGAAGAGGGGAAGGAAAATAGGGATAGAAAATTTTACTGCTCCTCCCAAAATAGAGTGAAAATGAAATTAAAATGAATGTAAAACTTCTTGATATTTTGCCTCAAACTAAAATTTTACATTACATCCATCCAAACAAAGATTTAACGTCACAACTCACAACAATCACTACGCCACGCCTCTTTTTCTCTCTCCACATTTTTTTTTCTCTCACTAAATCGTTAACGTTCATGCCACGAGAGATATGCCCTTATGTGTTTTTCTTTTTTCAAACAAGGAAATTCCTTCCTTTACCCTATTATTTGTTGAAGCTTTTCTGTTATTGTTTTTGTGCCATCTACATACGAATATCTTGATTATTTGTTTTAGTATACAACCATGATAAAATTCAATTGTCCTTAATTAGAAATACAAGATTAATCAACATTTAATATTTTTATTACCCTATAATCTGTAATTAAAAATCTAATGTTCCAAAAGAAATGAAAATAGATATTCATTTGCAAGATAATGATTTACAATATATACTTTATGGTTAAAAATAAGATTGTTTTCGTATAATTATTTTTAACGATCATCAAAAATTCACATGATAAATTAGTAGATCCACAAAATCCATACACGGATCTGCACATCCCAACAATTTTCTCCTCTATACTAAAAGAAAAAAAGAGAAAAAGAAAAAAAAAATTTGCTTGCCATTCATTGGACCAAAGAGCTTGGGTGCGAACAGAAACATTGAATTATGCACAATAATAAATAATATTAACCAGCAATGGAAGCATAAGAATAATATAATAGTTCAGGCGAGAAAGAAGTGCGCAAGAACCAATGTAAGGCAGGCACGTGGTGTCCTCCACGTGGAGATTTGGCAGTGACACGTGGTCCATTTAAGATCTCCAGAATGTCCAGGAGACGTGATAAGTGAGCTGTCTATGCAACCATCCGTCTGGCGGGGCCCACCAGATTCTGAGTCCAGCTGCGTGGGACACGTCAGTCTTCGGACCACATTTCACCGACAAATGTGAAAGCTAGTGGGGACCATTTCCTTGTACGTGTTAAGATTGAGATTCTTTTTAAGCCGAAGGCAGGCCTCGTTGGCAGAGATACTCTCTCATTCTCAAGTGGCGTGGCTCCTTTGTGACCGTTAGATTAAACCCATCCTCTCCGCTAGATCAAGTTTTGTCAGAACTGAGTCTCTTTATCTGATTTATTATTTATTATTATCTTTTGTATTTTATTTTAAAATTCTTAGGCAACGCGAGTGTTGTGCGTACACGCAGGCGCCTATGGTGAGGTGACTTGGAAAAGTGATTGAAGAATTAACATTTCAGGCAGTTAAATGAACGGTTACGATTAGTGACAGCATGATGTTGAAGTCAAACCATGGTGCGTCAGATATGGAGTGCTGTCCGCGTATGAAAAAGTGCATGGGGGCCACAATCTGAATTTTGCTTTAATACCCCTGCTCATCAATTTTTTTTAATTAGTATAAATTTAATTTCTTTAATTCTCTATTTTTTCATATTTTAATATTTTAACGAAAATATTTACAATTAAATAGTTAAGTTCCAAAATATCTTCAATTAGATGTGTTCATACAATGTGATAAGTCAAAAATATAAATAAGACTGAAGTGTCGAGTTTTTGACTGACATTAAATGAATATAGAGTTGTGAACTGGTGACTAGTTATAATAAATATATTGAAAAATAGAAATTACTGAACTAACCTTGAATTTAACGTTATTGTATTTTACATTGAAGTTTTGGTTCAATGATGGAAATTAGATTTTAAATAACAAAAACTGAAAGCAAGGAACAGAGAAACTTATTATTGTTCATTGGAGATGGAAAATGGAAATATTAAATAATATAATATATTTAATTCATTAAATAATTCTTTATTATTTTTGGAATCGATTGACGGAGGACGCGAATCGAAGAAGCGAAGGAATAGCCCGCCATGACACGCACGTCTGAAACGAAAATGCGCCGCAAAGATGCCAGAAACCGATACCTTCCCCTTTTCCTTCTTTTATTTTATTTGTACATGTATACTTTTTCATCGGTAAATTCAAGCTACACGTACATGTAATGAGTTTTTCAAATCAAGCAAACTAAGGACGAAAAATAAATTAAATAGATTATTTGTCATTTCAACTTTTTTCTTACGTGGAAATTGAATATCCATTTCCCTTGTTTAGCGAAGCATGAAGAAAAAACAAAACAAAGCAGGTGTTGATACACATGTTTTTCTTTTCCAAAATTTATTTATCTCAGAATATTAAGGACATATTTTTTAGCACATTTAAGATTTATTAATTTTTCGGGTTTCGTTTTATTTTTATACGTTTTTCAGTTGATTTTTTTTATCATATTTACAAATTATCAGATTAATTGGAATAGTTTTTTTGACACAAAAATAAGAAATGAAATGAATAACTATTTTTATTGTGAAATGATATATAAATATTTGAATGATATAAGTTAATCTAGATCATGTACGCAAGTGATCCCTAACCTAGTGTGGGTGATGCTCTGAAGGTCTTAAATTCAATTTTTGATATTGTAATATTTAATTTCTTCTATTTATAGTTGATTGTCTTGCTTATAACGAATTTTAAATTATTATAATTACTGCGAACAGTTAAAATGTGAAAATTTATTGCATATCATAATTTTCTTTAATCGTTTTTATAATACTCTAATAATCTCGTCCATTTGTAAAGTTTTGAAATTTATCTATTATCACGATTTCAAATTTCTTTTTATTGCTTTTTTCTTTCATTGTTGTTTGAGTACCTCGCCTCTAACTCTATCCCAAACATTCCTCGACTTTCACTAGGCCTAGTGCATGGCCGTTACTCTACCGTTTCTTAGTAATATTGCCCACTTCGGCGAAACTTGAAAAAAAAAAAAAAAGGGATGTGAAATATAATTTTTTTATATTTTTAAAAATTAAAATGTATTTTTTTATAAAATAATTATTTAAAATTTTCTCAGAGTGCGATGGCCTTCTCAGGACTCCACCTAGTTTTGCCTATAAAGATATACTTTCGTAATTTTTATTTTAAAAGATTTTGACAATTAGGGAGGAGTCGGATATTGAATTGGTATAAATTATAGTTCTATTTTCTGGAGTTTGAATGAAAAAGTAAAGAGTAATATTTATTTTTTTTTAAATTAAGTTAATAAAAGAAAATTTAGTTTTACAATCACATAAAAAAATGTAATGTAATTCCACATAAATTGCTTCATGATGATCTTAACTGTACAAATAAAAAATGACATAAATAATTTAATAAACATAATACACGGTGAAAAGAAAGTCAGTACATTTATGTAAAATGTTACCGATTAACATATTATGTTCAATATTCTTACATTTCTCTATTCGAAAAAAATGTGATTGAAAAAATAATTATAAAATGTTTGATAATAAAAATTATATATTTTTTAAATTACAAAATATCTTATTGGACAAATTCATAAAGAAGAGAACCGAAGAAATGATTGAGATACCTTGAGATTGAATAGAGTGGCGTAAGCAACCAATTAGCTTGTAAATGGTTTTTTTTTGAACAGAGCTTGTAAATGGGTTTGGTTAATCATGGATTCCAAAGGACCTATTCATTCTAGTTAAATTTGTTGTGTTTTTTCTTTCTTTTCCCCCTTTTCCAGTTTTAGTTTAAGCAAAAGATACCACGTAAGCCACATGACGGGTGGAATAGGTTGGACCCTAACTCGAGACGCGTAGATCGAGTTATTGGATAACACGTGTACGGTAGAGGTGATGTTGGAATAAATAAATGGCCAGCGCGAATATCGATGGTCCAGCTCAACAACCACCACAGCCCCCTATATACGGTGTACGCATACACTTGTTCTATATACGACACGTGTCCGGTGACGTGGATGTTGCCTTGGCGCTCCCTTCTCGTTCTTCTTCTTCTTCAACCCTTCCCCTCTCTCTTTCTCTCTCCTCAATTTCTCTCTGCAAAAACGAAACCGAACTTTTTTATTTTCCTTCTGTTTATAGAGAGAGAAAAATGCAGGAGTTCTGAACTTACTACTCAGGTTTCTATCAAGTAATTTAAGTTTTACTTTTAGCGAACATTTGAAGATAGTTGAAGCATTGAAGTTTCCCTCGCTTATCTAATTTCGTATTTTCTGAAAGCCGAAGAGAAGCAGATTTGGGATTGGATAATTGAAGGTATGCGGAATTTTCAGTTTTTGTCTCTGAAACTTTTGCATCTTGCTCTCTCTTTTTTTTTTTTTTTTTTTTTTTTTTTTTTTTTTTTTCTTCCCTCTCTCTTTCTCTGCTCCTCAATTTCTCTCTGCAAGAGACGAAACCGGAACTTTATCTTAGTTTCCTTCCTGTTTAGTAGAGAGAGAAACATACAGGAGTTCTGATTTACTCACTCAGGTTTCTATCAAGTTAATGTTAAGTTTTTTATCTTTTAGCGAAACATTTGAAGATAGTTGAAGCATTGAAGTTTCCTCCTCGCTTATCTCTATTTTCGTATTTCTGAAATGCCTGAAGAGAGCAGACTTGTGGATTGGATAAGGAAGGTTATTGCGGAAAATTTCAGTTTTTGTCTCTGAAAACTTTTTTGCATCTGCTCTCTCTTTTTTTTTTTTTTTTGTTTTTTTTCTTATCTTATTTTTTTTTTTTTTTTTTTTTTTTTTTTTTTTTTTTATCTATCGTTCAAGTACTGTTTGGCTGGCGAGAAAATTTTGGAAATTAAAAGGGACATGGAAAATTTTGGTACATGTAGATATATGCTCAAAACTGCGGTTAACTGTTTGTTTCGAGTTTTCTAGCCTTCTGAATTGAATTTTTTTTTTCCTTTTTCCCTTTTTAATTCCTTTATTAAATTTCATATCTGAGGAAAAAGTATCGATTAGAAACTTATCTGGATCTCTTGAGTTTGTCGTCGTTTCTTGTAGGAACTCTGAATCAGCTTGCGATTCAAAATCTAGCAGCGAGAAATATCAGCAAAATTAGATAAAAGAAATGGGAAAATGGCCTAGTCATTGAGACGATGATATAAATTGAAAACTGTATTAAGAGGATAAACTGGTGTTTCAGGGTTATTTTTGTCTTTTAGCTTCCGGAAGGTGCTGTGGGGAAAGGATTTGGTGTCACTTGTTCACTTGTGTCCGTCGCTTTCCTGCTATCCAATTGTACTGTAGAAAGACTTTAATACCCTTACCCTTGAAAATATTTTCAGGGCTGTGGAATCTCTCCGTTTATTTCTTGGTTATTTGTTGCCAAGAAAGATGAATTAAAGGGGAAAACTTATCAAACACTTATTATTATACTTAGCATGCAGTTAATTTTCTAGTCTAAGCTATGATAAGATGGCTAAATTGATTCAAAAATTCGATTTAGGGTGTTTTTGGATTGGATCTTTAAGTCTTTGGTTCTAACCTAATTGATCACTTATTTGTGTATATTTCTGAATCTAAAGTGGAGTCGTCCTCTTGATGAGATGAAGCTGGTTTTGAATTACCATACATAATTCTGTTTTCGTTTTTATTTGACAAGGAGGATTAGTTTAATGATTATTTAATTTGTTTAAGCACCGTCTCGTGTTCGGCGTTCCGTCTGCGCAAAAACTTAAAAGAAGGCTAAAGCTAAGCTACACAATTTTTTAAAAAAAATTTTTTTAACTGAAAAAGCTGAAAAATCATATCTTTATTGAAGTCATATTTACGCATGGAACGCTTTGCCAAGTGAAAGTGTGCTTTTTAGTGTTTGTTTTGCCAACTAGGATTTTGCATATCTAACATGCGTTTCTGCAATGAGAATGAATGCTTTATCAGAATCAGAGACAAGATTTGGAGTAATGATTTAGTTTGAAAGATCGCATAATTTCCTGATTTGATATCAATATTTGAATTCTGGCTTCCTTTGGGGGTTTTTCTTTTCTGTCCGTATCTGATGTCAATTCCACCTTGACATGTCTGACTCTTGTGCAGTTGACTAAGTTTACTCAACAAAGAAAAGTGATAATTGTGCTTACTGTCCATATTATTTGAGGATTTCCTCCTATTGCTTTACCATGGGAAACAACGAAGAGGGAAAGTCCTCTAAGCCTGATAAATCAGCTTCACCTGCACCAATGGTAAGATGAAAACAAATTATGTTTCTCGTTTGAAACTGGAATGTTATCTGGGTGATTTTTAAAGAAAGAAAACAGGAACATAATTGGAAAGATTCTCTTCTTGTTTGAGTTAGTTTTTTGCACTTGATAGAATGTGAAAATAATTCTGTGAGAAACCTTTAATTCAAATTATTTTCTATGATTGACTTCTGAATTTTTGTCTGAGTATTGGTCAATCCTTTTGCATTGACAGGATCAGACCAATATTCATGTATATCCTGATTGGGCGGCCATGCAGGTTATCTACTTATGCATGCATCTCTTTTCCCCCATCTTTTTATAGCAGTTGCTAAAACATCATTAAAGTATTAAGCTATATCATACTGTATTCAAAAATTTGTTTCTGATGTCTTTAGGCATATTATGGCCCTCGAGTTGCTCTTCCACCATATTACAACTCGGCAATGGCATCTGGTCACGCTCCCCATCCATACATGTGGGGCCCACCGCAGGTATTGCTTGCAGTTCTTGGAAAGTTATTTATTGTGTGTAGGATTTCTCAAATTGTTGCCATCTTTATTTTGTTTTCTCATTGAAGAACAAGTTAGTAAATCGAGGACCAAGATAAACTTAACTTCCTAATTCTTCCAGCCTATGATGCCACCTTATGGGACTCCTTATGCGGCAGTCTACTCACATGGAGGAGTTTATGCGCATCCAGCAGTTCCAATTGTGAGTCTTCATTTTTTTTATTTCCATTGTTTGGTCAGAGTCTGTACTCTGTACTTCGCTCTGCAGTTTGGAGCTTCAAAATAGTTGATTTACATGTTGAAGGTTTCACTGTAGAACAAACTAAGGGTTTCTAAAACGCTTATAAATTACTTTTTGGTAAATCTAGGGATCACATCCTTCTGCTCCTGGTGTTCAATCATCACCGGCTGTAAGTGAAGCCTCATTTCCAATTTTTCCTTTCTGGACTATCAATTTAAATTTTTATCTTGGTGGTTTGCATATTAATGATCTAAGATAAGTAGGAACTATATCAGTGTGAAAGGATAGAAAATTGTTCATCTTTGCAATGCATTTATAAATTGGTCCTTGACATAACTGTTTTGCACTAATGCAGGTGGGGACACCTCTGAATGTAGAAATGCCTACAAAATCTACAGGAAATACAGACCGCGGTTTGATGAAGAAGTTAAAAGGGTTTGATGGGCTTGCAATGTCAATAGGCAATGGCAACGGTAGTGGTAATGCCGAGAGTGCTGAGGGTGGGGACCGGAGGCTTTCTCTGAGGTTTGTAACTTTACACTTTATTTTTGGGGGACTCGCTCTAGAGAGGTGCCAGCAAGAGTGTTTTCTCAACTTATCTTTTGTGGCTAGGCTAACTTCATATCATTTTACCATGTGAACAGTGCGGAGACCGAGGGTTCCAGTGATGGAAGTGATGGGAATACATCCGGGGTGAGACCTTTTGTCACTAAACGAATATTTGCAAACATTTTCAGTTTCCTTTGCATTTGATTTTGAATTGAAGAAGTTGCTAAATCCTTACTATAATCTTTGTCCTTCATCAGGGAAGGAAAAGGAGTCGTGAGGGAACACCAACTATTGGTATTCACCAACTCTATCTTGATTAACAATAGAATTGATATGGAATTGCAGTTTTTAGTGGCATCAATTTTGTAAACACTGTGTGCATTCCACTTCACCACTATATAGAATAGTAAAATAACAAAACTTCCCTATGTTACTTCCCTATTTTTCACCTTTTTGCATCTGTCATTCAATAATTCTCCACTTCAGTGTCAAAGCCTTGGGCCGAAGTTCCGCATTCTTCTATTGGATTGTTTAAGGAAGATAATTAACCTCTTAAGTTTCCTGCTCATTTGTTAAGAAACGTGTTTTGTGTTTCATGTTTCATTTGTTTGCTTCGTACGGCCTGCTACCTGACAAGCATATTACTGGCTGCTTGATTGTGATTATAATCTTGAGCTTTCTTATTATCCAAAACTCCTAATATGTACTTGATATTTATATCAACAGCTGGAGAGATGAGAAGTGAGACACCAGCCAGTTCTGCTCCTAGTGGAGAGGTGAATGCATATTCTGATAAGGTATCAGGTGCTGCTGTGACTCCAGCTGGTTTTTCAGAAAAATCAGTGGGAGCAGTAAATTCGCCTCGCATGAGTACAGCATTGGAGCTTAGGAACCCTCCTGTTAATGGTGCTAAGACAAATGCTACTAACATTCCACAACCTTATGCAGTGCTGCCCTCTGAAGCCTGGATACAGGTATTTATTCTAGTGGCACTTGCTCTGTTTTCCCTCTTGTCCATATTTTGATTTGACCTTTGCTTTAAGAAGTTTCAATTTTTAACTAGATAGTGCATGCATTATTCTGAGGAAGCTTGTGATTCTGGTGGTTTGTTTAGAATGATCGGGAGCTGAAACGGGAAAGGAGGAAACAATCGAATCGAGAATCTGCTAGAAGGTCAAGATTGAGGAAGCAGGTAGAGTAAATAAATAAAATATGGAACTGGTATTAGTTTGAACATCTTTACCATTCTATCAATTTATCTCATATATATCCTCCTATGTAGGCCGAGACTGAAGAACTTGCTCATAAAGTCGAATCCTTGACCTCTGAGAATTTGGCATTGAAATCAGAAATAAATCAATTGACTGAGAAATCAGAGAAACTAAAGCATGAAAATGCAGCATTACTGGTGTGCCTTTGTACCCCATTGTATAAGACCTTTAACAGTTTTCCCTTGTTCAGAATTTATTTTATTAATATTTGGAGTGGTGAACAGGAGAAGCTAAAAAATTCAAAGCTAGGACAGGCACAGGAGACTATTTTGAACAGAAGCAGCGAGCAGAGGGCCTCAGCTGTTAGTACGGAGAACCTGCTGTCAAGAGTTAATACTTCTGCATCTGTTGATAGAAACGCTGGAGAAGAGAGCGAGCTGTATGAGAGAAACTCGAACTCGGGGGCTAAACTGCATCAGCTTCTGGGTGCAAGTCCTAGGGCAGATGCTGTGGCAGCTGGCTAATTTAGTTTATCCGGAAGTTTCTTATCATATTTAAATTTAGAAGCAGCCTTTATGTAGTTTTGGCATATTACAAGCCCAAAATTACTTCTAACAGCTAGTAGGGGTGGAATGGTTTGAATAGGATTGGCAACTCATCTGAGACTCTCAATCTTGTAAGTTAGCTTTTCTCATGGCTGGACTGATTTTGTTTTGTTTTTTTTTTTTTAAAAAAAAAAAAAAAAAAAAATTTGGCATATTACAAAGCCCTAAAATTTACTTTCTAACCCAGCTAGTAGGGTGGAATGGTTTGAATAGGATTGGCACTCATCTGAGACTCTCATCTTTGTAAAGTTTTAGCTTTTCTCATGGCTGGGACTTGATTTTGTTTTGTTTTTTTTTTTTTTAAAAAAATTTTTTTTTTTTTAAAAAAAAAAAAAAAAAAAAATCAAAATTGAGGGTGGTGGGAAGTTCACTGAAAGGTAGTGTAAATTGAAGAGAATTAGAGATTCAGTTTCGGGGAAGGTGTTCCTATGAATATGAATCTGTTTGTGAGATTTTTACTGATGTAGATATTTTATGTCATATGCGTTAGAATGTCAGTACTTGAGAAGATGTATGAAATGCCTGTATGTTGTTACTTCACTCTATCCAATTCTCTACGTTGCCTGTTAATCCAATATCAAAATTCTAGAAGCTCCGAAAAATGAAGTAATTAACTTGAGGAAGTAATTAACTAACTTGACATTGTAGGACATTGGAGAGCTCCTAAGCTGAGTGTATGTGTTTATGTATTTATATTTACATTACATTTTGAAGAAAAATATATATTCTGGGTTGGAGGGCTTAATGTGTAAATTAAATTATAATGGCCCATAAAGTCTGTGTCGTCTAGAAAGCAAACGGCGCTCACTAGTATCTAATATATATATTTTTTTTCTTTTTTTCCAAACGCGAACAAAAAGTCAAGCCCATACAAGGTAGGAATGGATTGGACCATAGAATTAGAACATTACGAGCACCGTTAACTAGAAACTGTGGCCCCCACAAAGTCGAGGACTGTCTGTCGACTTCATTCGGACCCTAATCAATAACACCCGATCGTTACCGGCCTTTGTCTGATTGTCTCCTTTTTTTTTTTTTTTTTTTTTTTTTTTTTTTTTTTTTTTTTGTCATTTTTTTTTTTTTTTTTTTTTGTCATCTGATCTGATCTGATCTTAGAAACATTTGTTTTGTTAAAAAAGAAATGCTTTTTCATAAAATGATTGATCAATTATTTGATCTCAACATGTATTTATTCACTTCGATTGCCTCTTGTTGTACGCAAATAAGTGTTTGATTGATTAATGATTGCTCCAAAAAATGAACTTGTATTATTAGAAGATACTGATTTCTTAAAACTATGATATTTTTAATAAATGAATACCGTGTTGAAATTGATTTTATTATTCCGGCATTATCAAAAGAAAAAAGCTTGGAAATTAATGTCAATTTCTTTACTTTATAAACTTTGTTTTTACGCAAAACTCTTAAAACAGTTGAATATCATTTCAACTGTATACAAAATGGAAACGTATATGCTAAAAGAAATTTTTTTCTTTCTTGCAAGTGAGTTCAATCTCTTTTGCTAATGTAAAGTACAAAAAGTGGTAGTAGCATTTGAAAGGTGAAGGTCAATAGTCAAACCTATAAAAATGGAAACTTTTAAGTGTAGCTTTTACGGTCATGTCAAAGTTAAATGCACCATTTGCTTTGCCTCAGACGTTTGAATTTGATCAATTAGGGCTATTAAGAGTAGGCCCATGGTTGATGGTCCACGAATGCGAAGCAGATGATAATATCTCTTTGGCTCTCTCAATAAAACATTTTGGAATTTAATAAACGCATTTAATGAATGGTTTTAATCTAAAAATTCCCGTTTTAAATTTTGACCGTTTGTACATGGCTACGTGTACCTCTCATATCTCCACGTCCTAGATCTCTGCAACTTTCTAGTACTGTTTTAATATTCACTTCATCTCCTACTTCCACAATCTTGCCTCCTCCTCCCCTTGCCTTTGCTTCATTTTGCATTTTAGTGTCTTTTTATTTTTATTTCTCATTTCAAAAATGTTACTATTTTTTTTTTTTGCTTTTGCACTTCCAATTTAAGCTATAAGTTAAGTAATTTATTGTGGTTGCTTCATGGGTATATATATATATATATATATAGGGTATATATATATTCTATAATATATAATATATATATACAGAAATATTTTTTTAAGTGTCCAAATGTTTTTGAACTCTTTTATTCAATTTAGTGAGGCCTTATATATATATATATATATATATATACAAAATATTTTTTAATGTCAAGTTTTGAACTCTTTTATTCAATTAGTGAGGCCTTAAAAAAGTGTTTGTATCTTGAAATTTATGGCCGTTCGTTGATTTTCCTTTCTGGGTTTTGATTGTTACAAAGTGGGATTTGTCATAGTTTCACTCATAACGTAATTAACAGTCATTATTATAGATATACTCCAGAATAGTGAGTCTTGGGTGGGGATATTATCTGGTTTTGGATCCTGTAGTTATGAATTAGATTTTTCTTTTTCATCTTTAGTGTTCATTGATAGGGAAACTTGAAGAGAATATTTCATGAAAGTTTTGATTTTTAATTAATGGTCTTATCGTCGTATTGTCTTCTTCTGATGTAAACGTGACAAGTTTCAGGTGATTTCTTTATCAATTGTAGCTAGGTGTTATCCTATGCACTTGCCAAATGTTTCATTTTCTGGTGTCTCTTCGTTTGAGCCTTTGGTTTTTTCCTCAGTAACAACATTTTCTCTTGCTGTCTTGCATATTAATATACGAGGGTAATTTGTATTGGGGTTCTCTAGATCGAAGATATAGTAGGAGGCTGTGCTTTGAATTCATTAGTATGGTCTTCTTGCCATTGTTGGTGCTCTAAGAAGCCTGATTAGAGATTAGAATTCCCTTGTGTTTAGATTACAAATTCTTTTTTCTTCTCCTCAATTTTTCTTTTTTAAAATGGGGCATTCTGTAGCTGTCTGGGATCATAAGGCTGCCATTGAGATTACAAAGGACTGGAATGAAATTGATCAGGTGGTGCTTAGAAACCCTCAAGGGGCTTCTGTCAGGGTGAGGTTTTATTTATTTATTCTTAGTTCTGGAGTTGTTTTCTTGAATTAATGAATTCACCAGTCAGAATTTCTTATTGATGCTGAATAGGAAAACTTCCAGTAAAAGGAGATGATATGTCTTGTTTAATCTATGGGAACTTAATAATTGGGTTGATTTGATAAATTCTGGTTTTGTGATATTAATAGGTAAGCCTGCATGGAGGACAGGTAGTTTCATGGAGGAATGAACAAGGGGAAGAACTTCTATTCACGAGTAGCAAGGTGCTTCTCCTCCACATCCCCACCATATTTCCACAATTATTTAGATTTGTACTTGTTCTAGAGCGTTTAGTTAGGTAAATGTCTTGATTTGGGTGCCATTATCCAGAAAAGCGATATTCAACAATATGGAGCTGTCCTAGTCGATTAGTCAAAGAACTCGATCTTTTTGAAAATAAAAATTTGCTTACAAAATATACATTTAATTTGGCCAACTCCAAGCTGGTAGCATAGAAGCCTTTTCTTTTGTTTTTGATCTTGATTTGGACATTAGCTTTCAGCTAATATCTAGAAGTATGTTATTTGCGCTTTTAGCTAAATGAAATACTGTGAGGTTGCAAGTTGGAACCCATTTAAGAAAAAAAAAGGCTAAAAGCACCGAGTTACCAGAGTAAATGTATCATTGTTCAAATTTTATTTTCGAAACAGGTTATCCTAGAGATGCCTACCATTACTAAATCTTTCCTGCTAAAAGTTTTGATGGTGACTCACTGTTTGATGTTTGGTTGACTGTAGGCGATCTTTAGGCCCCCAAAAGCGATGAGGGGGGGTATCCCCATTTGTTTCCCTCAGGTACGTTTGATTATTTTTGTTTATATGAATGAACATTAAGCTGAGATATATCTTGCTTATATTTGCTGCTTTTTTTTTTTTTTTTTTTTTTTTTTTTTTTTTTTTTTTTTTTTTTTTTTTTTTTTTTTTGGGATTGCTTAATACATACGTTTTTAATTGGCTGTGAGTTTGGGAATACTGTGGATCACTAAGAGCAGGTCATGGTTTTGGCTAGGAATAAGAATTTGAACAATTGAATTGAAAATTCTCTCCGTCCTTTGCCAATCTCAATATTCCCAGGAAATACTTTTTGGTTGACTTACTATGAACTCATCAAGGAAGACCTCATAGTTTGCCTGGCCCTATACGTGTTATACTAGACTATTATTGCTTTAATGCACTGTGGTCATACTTAGTCGGTGCTACATTAAGACTACGTTCATAATTATATACAACATAAAGTGTGGGACAATCTATTAATTGTCTTGCAATACTCATGTTTATGATTGAAACATTAGTTGAAAAAGTTTGTCGCACGATCTTGGAAGTTTTCTACCGTTTTTGTTTTGAATAATTTGCTTTTTTATCCGCCTAAAGGGCCAGTTAATTAGATATGGGCCAGTTAATTAGAAAAAGATATTATAATTTGTTTGGACTAGTTTCTTCTGAAGAAGTTCTTACATCAAAACGGACACTGCAAGAAGTTTCTCAGCATATACATATCTTATTGCTGGCTCATATTAATGTGAGTGATTGTGTGCTTCTGACCGATCATCTTCTTTATTTTAAGTTTTGAATTTCGTCAATATGCGTGTGTCAACTTTCAAACAATGGAGATTTGGCATTTAATATCAAGTTAGTTTCGGGCATAAATGGCAAGGCCATTTAGTATTCTCCCATTTGCTGTTCATACGTAATTTAGTCAGTATTCTGACATAAGGTAATTGTATTATTTTGCTGAAGCTTGAATAGATATACTCCCAATGAATCTTAGTGGCGCACGATT